CACATGTTTGGTTTCTTCTGAGGGCTGTGAGGAAGAATCTGTTCCAGGCATCTCTCCTAGCTTCTGGTAGTCTCAGATGATCCTTGGCTGGTAGATGGCCATGTTCTCCCTGGGTCTTCACTTCCCTCTATGCGTGTTTGACATCCCATGATCTTGACTGGAAGACTTAATGTTGATAAAACGGCAATACTTCCCAATTGATCTACAAAGTCAATGCAATCCCTATCAAAATTCTGAATGTTATTTATTGCAGAAATGGATAAGATGATCCTAAAATTCATGGGTCCCAGAATAGCCAAAACAATCTTAAAAAAAAACTAAGTTGCAGCACTCACACTTGCCAATTTCAAAACTTATTACAAAGCTACAGTAATTAAAACAGTGGGGTACTGGCCTATATTCCATATAGATCAATGGAATAAATTGAGAATCCAGAAATAAACCTATACACCTATGGTGACCAATTTTCAACAAAAGGTATCAAGACCATTCAGTGGGAAAGAACTGTCTTGCCAACAAATGATTCTGTGACAAATGGACATCCACATACAAAAGTATGAATTTGGACCCCTTCTTCACACCATATAATTAACTCAAAATGGATCAAAGACCTAAATGTAAGAGCTGAAACTATTAGCACAAAACATAGTTGTAAATCTTTGTAACCCTGAATTAGGCAACGGTTTCTTAGACATTATACCAAAACACAAGCAAGAAAAGAAAAAACAGATATTGAATTTCACCAAAATTAAAAACTTTTGAATGTCAAAGGACATTATCAAGAAAGCAAACATGCCATCCACAAAATGGAAGAAAATATGTGCAAATCATATCTCTCATAAGGGTCTAGTATCCAGAATAACAAACTCTTACAATTCAATGATAAAAAGACAACTCAATTTTTTTAAATGGGCAAAAGACTTAAATAGACATTTCTCCAAAGAAGATATACAAATGATCAATAAGCACATGAAACAATGCTCAACATCCTCAGTCATTAGGAAAGTGCAAATCAAAACGAAAATGAGGCCGGGCGCGGTGGCTCATGCCTGTAATCCTAGCTCTCTGGGAGGCCGAGGCGGGCGGATTGTTTGAACTCAGGAGTTCGAAACCAGCCTGAGCAAGAGTGAGATCCCATCTCTACTAAAATTAGAAAGAAATTAATCAGACAACTAAAAATATATAGAAAAAATTAGCCGGGCATGGTGGCGCATGCCTGTAGTCCCAGCTACTCGGGAGGCTGAGGCAGGAGGATCGCTTGAGCCCAGGAGTTTGAGGTTGCTGTGAGCTAGGCTGACGCCACAGCACTCTAGCCCAGGCAACACAGTGAGACTCTGTCTCAAAAAAAAAAAAAAAAAAACACCAAAATGAGATACCACTTCACATCCAATAAGATGGCTATAATCAAAAAAATTGAGAACATTATGCAAAGTAAAATAAGCCAGTCACCAGAAGACAAATACTGTATAATTCCACCATACAAGGTAACAGTAGTAGTAAAATTCATAGATAGTAAGTAGAATGTTGTTTGCCAAGGGTCAGTGTGAGGGAGGAATAAGGAGTTGTCTAATGGGTATAGTTTCAGTTTGGCAAGATGAAAAGAGTTTTGGAGATTGGCTGCACAACAATGTGAATGTACTTAACGTTACTGAACTATATACCTAAAAATGGTTAAGATGGTAAATTTTATGCTGTGTATACTTTACCACAATTAAAATTTTTCTAATATTTAAAAAAGACGAACAATAGCAAGTACTGGCAAGGGCATGGAGAAACTGGAATCCTCACACACTGCTAATGGGTATGTAAAATAGTATAGCCGGTTTGGAAAACAGTTTGGCAGTTCCTCAAAAAGTTAAACAGAGTTACCCTATAGCCCAGCAATTCCACTCCTATGTATATACCCAAGAGAACTGAAAACATGTTCATGAAAAATCTCATATGCAAACGTTCAAAGCATCATTATTCATAATAGCCAAAAAGTGGAAATAACCCAAATGTCCATCAACTGATGAATGGATAAATGTGATATATCCATACAATGGAATGTTATTATTCATCCATAAAAAGGATTAAAGTACTGATACATTCTACAACATGAACAACTCTTGAAAACATTATGCTAGGTGAAAGAAGCCAGACACAAAATACCACATATTGTATCATTCAATATATACGAAATGTCCAGAATAGGCAATTCTACAGAGACAGAAAGTAGATTAGTGTTCTCCAGAGTTGGAATGGGGAGGAGGGGGTATTGTTTATGACTGCTAATGGAAATAGGCTTTCTTTTTGGGGTGATGGAAATGTTCTGGAAGTGGATAGTGGTGATGGTTGCACAACCTTGTACATATGCTAAAACCCACCAAACTGTATACTTTTAAACAGTAAATTTTATGTTAAGTGAATTATATCTTGATAAAAAATATATATGTTGATGACAGAAATAGGATATTTGTATAGTTTCAAAGTATCTCCCCCCAAATATTTAGTAATTACGAAGGAAAAAATAGTAAGTTTACAATGCAGAATCCTGCCAGACACCACCTTAGCCAAGTGATCGAGGTGAACATCACCAGTAAAATAAATCAACATCATGTATACCCTGATATGATGCACTGAGGAGGGCACAATCATTTCCGTGGTATCCTTCCCAATGATGCAAAACCTTAATCTAATCATAAGAAAATATCAAACAAACCCAAATCGAGGGGCATTATATAAAATAACTATCCAAGGACATGAAAGACTGAGGAACTATCATAGATCAGAAGAGACTATAGAGACGTGACAAGTAAATACATTGTGCAATCCTGGACTGGATAATGGAATAGAAAAAAGACATCAGTGGAAAAACTGCTGAAAGCCTATTAAGTTCTGTACTCTAGTTAGTAGTATTACACCATGTTAATTTCTTAGCTTGGTAAATGTTCTATGGTTATGTAAGATATTAACGTAAAGGAAAGCTGGGTGAGATATATACAGGAATTCTCTGTACTATTTTTGCATCTCTTCTGTAAGCCTGAAATTATCTCAAAAATTTTAAAAATGAACTGCTAAGAAATGCTTTATAGGCTGGGCACGGTGGCTCCCGCCTGTAATCCTAGCACTCTGGGAGGCCAAGGTGGGCCAATCATTTGAGCTCAGGAGTTCGAGACCAGCCTGAGCAAGAGCGAGACCCCATCTTTACTAAAAATAGAAAGAAATTACTTGGACAACTAAAAATATATATAGAAAAAATTAGCCGGGCATGGTGGTGCATGTCTGTAGTCCCAGCTACCTGGGAGGCTGAGGCAGAAGGATTGCTTGAGCCCAGGAGTTTGAGGTTGCTGTGAGCTAGGCTGACACCATGGCACTCTAGCCCAGGCAACAGAGTGAGACTCTGTCTCAAAAACAAAAAAGAAATGTTTTATGAAATGAAAGTGTTTAATAGAAGGTCTGGGAGATAAATTTTTTTTTTTTAATTTTGCTGTCAATCCTGTACCATGTCCGGGCCAGGTGAGGCTTCCCAGGTTGAGTCAAATTAAGCCACGGGCTCCATGGGAGATAAAAGTTTTTAAATTTCCCAGAAAATAGAACAAAATCCTAGACTTGCAGGCTAATACTTTTGTCTGTGATGTGACAAAAGTCTTCCTTCATTCGGGAAGACATAAGCTTATAAACTAAATACTGTTCCTAAAGCAAGGTACCACAAAGCTTTAGTCACATTACTCCAAAAAAATAATGAAAGGGAAGAGATTAAAAGAACAAAATATTCTGTAAAAAAATGTTATATCTTATAGTTTGTCCTAAGAAAATGTGTGCTGGGCATTTATGACTCTGCTTGACCATCTCCAGTGCTATAGTACTCACTACTTCATGTTCTAATTTCTGCTCCTATTTCCTTACAGCAAACGAAAACCTGCTTTATATTTACCTCGTATACTCAGAATCTTACAGTCTAAGAGGCCAAAGAGATCATCTAATCCAGTGGTTCTCAAAGTGTAGTCTCGGACCAACAACATCAGTGTCTCTAGGAAAGCGTGTTAGACATATAAATTGTATGCTTCAACTCCAAAACTTCTGAATCAGAAATTCTGGTGGTGGAGCCCTGCAATGGAGTTTTAACAAGCTCTCCAGATAATTCTGATATAGGCTAAAGCTGAGAACCACTGATCTTATTAAATCCCTCACTATGTAGGTGATTTGCTTAAAAGAACAAGGTTTCTTAAAAGCGGTCATGCCCAGAAGCTAGGCTCCCAACTCTAAGTCCAAAGTGCTTAATACTTACCCCATGCTGTCCCACCATCAGCCCTAGTTCTTACCTCTGGTACAATAAAGCATAAATAAAATTCCTATTTCATAACAATAACTCCTCAATTATCATATCTCCCTTTCCCTAGTACCATTTTCTGTTCCCCTAGTTCCAGCAATCTTTTGTCATGTGGTACGTACGGTTTCATCTTGTCCTACATAAAATTTGTCACTTTGAATGGAGCACAACACTCCTGGTAGACAGTAGAAGCCGAAAGAATTAGAGACCTAATTCCTTAAACTGATTGGAACTATTAAAAGGAACTATTGTGTTTCTCAGGTATCTGCTCTGTCATTTGTCTTCTTTTATATTTAAAAGAAATAGTATTCAGTATACCAATACAATCAATTAATGATGGTTTTCCTACCCTGATATCACAGGTCAAATACCATATGTCCCTTCTGGTATACTGTACATGTCAATGTAAGGCACCATAATGTATGAGTAAACCCAAAAATACATGCAATAATTTTAGAGTAGGAAAAGGGGAAGCAAAGTCAATACTCTCTTTGAGACATCAAAACCAAGAGCAAAATTAACCCAAAGAAGTTATTTCTTAACCATTAAAAATAATAAAATTTCAATTAAACTTACGTTAGATGATAATTTGTTTGAAATAGAGAGATCCTTGATAAACTTAGCTTATCAGAACTTCAAATTTCAAAACAGTAAGAAAATTAGAACAAACTGCTAATTAAATTCTTACCAGGCCTGGTGTGGTATCTTCATCACTGTCTCCATCCTGACTGCTTTCCATATCAACACCGGGAATCACAGTATCGGAATTGCTATGTTGTGGCTTGTCACTTTCGGTATGAACATCTAAGAATGATTTTTGCAGAATGGACTCTGCCTTGGAAGACGTGGCTTTCATCTTTGGAGTTAAAATCCTTCCGCAAGTTTTTTTTATTTTAGTCTTATACTTTTTACGGGCCACTTTGTTATTAGAATTCTTTTCTATTAGGGATTTGGAGTACTTAAGTTGGTCTAGATTACTGAGTGAAAAAGGGACAAGATAAACCTTAGCTGTTTTTCCTAAAAGTGTAGCCTGCACTGGTCTCAGAGATACATAAGCGATGTTTTGGTTTTCTTTATATTCATTCACCTATTCAGGTCAATAAAGAAAAACAGAGTATTAGAATCCCAGATCCTATGCCTCTTCCTACAATGTTTCCAACAGATCTGCATAAACAAATCCAATCCCCAAGTCATAATGACAACATAAATCCAAATCCATAGCCTGTAAGGAAACTTTTTTCCCCTCCAAAATCTAGATATGTAATTCACTAACCTGAATAGAATTATTCATTTACTGGGTACATTTCTTGCCCATATGAGTCTGACAGACTAATAATGACTAGCATTTATATCTGAATAAACGACCCCAACTTTCAGCTTCGGATTTACTGGAATTGTTTAAAGAGTATGAAGCTGACAATAACTGCTGCAAAAGCAAATGCAGAGGGCTGGAGAAAGGGGGTCCCACATCTGATGCTGCCACTATTTCTAGGGCTACTGATAAGAATCTTACTTAATGCTGAAGGCCTAGTTTTTCACAGAGGAAAATCAGGGCAGGGATCCCCACTTATCCCTGGTGCCAGGTTGCCCGTGCCCTCCTGGGCCTGTGCCCGGCAATATCCCTCACAAAAAAATGCGGCAGGAGCATATGGGAAACGTCAACCCCGTTTTTCACCTTCAGCTGGAGTCGCTGTCTGGATTCCGCCTTCTCGGCCGCTGCGCCAGACCCCGACATCTTTCTGCTATTTAGCAGCCGGCGTCTTCCCGCCAAGATTGTGGCGCGAGGCCGGGAGGGGCGGAGCCCGCAGGGCGAGGGAGGCGGAACCCCGCTTCAATCGCCCGCGGCTTAAGAAGACCGCCTGACAGCCTTATCCTGAAACTCGTATTCTTTAGGGATATTGTGGGACCGAATCAGCGTTTTTACCTTGGATCCGGTGATTTTGATGGTGGTGGTAGTGAGATCTCGCTTTGAAAAACACTGGCGCTTGTGCTAAGGAAAAACCTTGCAATGTTAGATGCGTAAGGAATGGAGATAAAAGAAAACCAAAATTAACATACAGCCTTTGCCTGGCATACTGCTTCCTTATAACTCCACCATCAGAAAATTATGCCCCGTTTTGCTACCGTATTACCTTCTTCCTAGGAAGGAAAGCATTTTGATTTTTTTTTCCAAGAGCTTATAACTTATGCTGGTTTAAATTTCACCTGACCATCTGCCCACCTGTTACCTAAGGATCCTAACGGTGACCTTAAAAGGCCCAAAGCCTAGGACAAAATTGTGAATCAAGTAATTTGCGTATCACAAAATAACAAATAAGGTTTTAGGGCATTGTATTTCTGTAGTCACAGCCATATTAAACCTTTTTTTTTTTTTTTCCTATTCTCTGGGCTGCCATGGGCCAAAACAATTGCCTTTCCATCAGATTTACTCCCTCTGGACAACATAATTTTTTGTACTGGTAAATTCATAATATAAAATTCTGTCTACTCTTTAAAGTTCTTTCTAGCCCAAAACTGCTTCCTTGGTTAAGTGGATCCCCCACTTTTCCTTGCTTGAGACTTGCCTAATTTAATTTCTTCTCCCAGCTGAGGCCCAATTCTAGAACAGGTAAAATAATTTGAGAGCTAATCATACCATTATAATAGCGCCTTCAAGGCCATCCATGACCTGATACCCGCTGAACCTTCACCACTCTTTGACTAAAAAAAATTACCAATAACCCCAAACTTTTCATAGTGTCCTGTGTCTATCAAACTATTTCTGGACTTGAAGACTTTGCTCATGCTGTCCCTTCTTTTCTGACCAAAGCAGTAATTAAGTCCTTTATACTGTGAAATGTGCCCTGACTTTCCAATTACCCACTTTTTTTTTTTTTTTTAACACAACTCACTTTGTAAATTGGGGCTGCTTCTTTTATGATTCTAGAAGTCTGTGAAGACTTCCTAAATAAAATGCAACCTTTTTGAAGACACGGCCTTTTAACAATATTCCATACTCCTTTCAGAGCCCTAAGCACGGTAAACACTAATTACTTAATTACTTAACTTAAATACAAACAACTTTACAGCCAGGAATGTATTTTAAAAGGCGGTTTCCAGAAACCCTGAAAGCCTATGAGTGGAGTGTTGAGATTTCAGGTAATGTCCCAGGCCCCTTGGGGGGGATTTTTTTTTTTTTTTTTGGTTACTGGCTTAAATAACCACCACCTCCCCTCTTGTGACTACCAAATACCGCACTACAGCTGACCCCGGCCTCATCAACTGAGCTAAACAGGTGCCATTAATAAGATTTTTATTCCATCAAACTCTTATTTTTTCTGAGCATTCAACAATCTGGACGAACCGGACCCCACTATCTCCTCAGTTTCTTATTTATCACTGTCCGGTTCTCCCTCGCTTTAAGCCAAGCTAACGTGAAACCTTTCATTCGGACCTCCCTCGCCGCAGGGCCTTCACAGCAAAGCCCCAAAGAATCAATTTCCCGCCAGAAGAAGCTTCCAAATCCTGCGATACTGAGGACGCAAGGGCAACCTATGGACATGCGCATTAACACACTCGACTTCCTAGTCGTAGCCGCCCAAACGTCCTCCACTATCCCACAATCCTCTTGTCACGTATTTCCGGTTTATCTAGCTCAGCCGTACGTAGTTCCTGTCAGACACGCAGTAGTGTTCTGTGGAGCTGGGTGGGAGAGAGTTTTTCTGTTCGTTGACGTTGTTGGTGTTCAGTGTTTGGAACCAGTCAAGTTTCGGGAATCACAGCCACTGCTGTCAACATGTCGGTCCCAAGCGCACTCATGAAGCAACCGCCCATTCAGTCTACGGCTGGGGCCGTCCCGGTTCGCAATGAGAAAGGTACTGTGCCGATTCCTTTTCCAGTCGGATCTTACCTCTTCCTACTCCAGCATCCTCCAAACCTTCCCCGCCCACTCCAACCCCGCCAAACCTTAAGACCCAGCCCCCAAATTCTTCGACCTTCCCAACCCCACCAAGTGGATGGAACCCACTGCATCTGATCTTGTTCCTGTGGCCTGTCTGCTCTCATATACAACAGGCAGCCTTCTTAGCCTCCACAAATTCCTTCGCTCTATATGTTGTAAATGCCTACTTTTAGAGCTTTGTGCAATCCCTCTGTTGTTATCCATAGCAGTCTGTTTATGCTGCTTTTATAACTCTTATCAATTATTGTAGTTATTTGTGTCCCTTTACTACACCATAAGCTCATAACCCCCTTATCCTTTTCAAGCAGCGCGGTGACTGTATTTATTATATTGAATACAAAGTTGTGTCAGACAGTGCCCCTAACCTTAAGGAATTCATATTCTAGTAGATGTAAGATATGCAAAACAGGCACATTCTAAGTAGTGTACAGGCTATCACCCTTTTGATCCCTGTCATGTAGGCAATATAAACCAAGTGCTATGAGAGGGCAGGACGGAATGATCACGTCAGATTGTTGTGATCAAGGAAAGCTTCTTGAAGAAAGTGGCATTTAATTTGATCCTTAAGGGATGGGTAACATTTCAGTGGGTGCAGATGGAGGAAGGAATACCATACATGTTCAGGACCTCAGACTAAAGAGTCTTTTCAGTAAATGTGTTGGAAAATAATATCAGTGCTTTGTTTTTTAAAATATACTGTACCCATCCTTGTGCAGCTTGCCTTTTTTCTTTTGTAACTCACCATGGGTTTTGCGGGGGAAGGGGTTTGTTTTTCTTTTTTTTTTTTTTTTAAGAGAGGGACGTCTCGGCTATGTTGCTCAGGCAGGGCTTGAATTCCTGGGTTCAAGCCATCCTCCCGCCTCAGCCTCTGGAGTAGCTGGGTATACAGCCGTGCGCTACCGTGCCTGGCCCCAACATGACTTTTGAGAATTAACCTTTGGATACCTATAGATCTAATTTATTAATTTTAACTGCTTATGAATTCCATTGTATAATTAAGCCACAGTTTATTTCCTACTGAGGAGCAGTTAGTTGTTGTTTTCCTATTATAAAAGTGCTGCAGTTGTCATTCTTAAACATGTCTTAGTGCACTTGTGTAAGAATTTTAGGGTAGATTCCTAGAAGTTCATCATCAACTTTACTACCTGCTGCCAAATGCTCTCCAAAGTGAGTTGTAAGAACATAAGAGTTTTATTTACTATATATTTATCTACACACTTGGTAGTAATCAGGTTTTTGTTTTGGGGGTTTTGTTTTGTTTTGTTGGAGACAGGGGCTCTATTGCCCTGGCTGGAGTGGAGTGGTGTCATCATAGCTTGCTGCAGCCTCCAACTCCTGGGCTCAAACAATCCTCTTGCCTCAGCCTCTAGAGTAGCTGGGACTACAGGTGTGCACCACACGCCCAGCAAATTTTTTTATTTTTTGTAGAGACGGGGGTCTCACTATCGCCTAGGTTGGTCGCAAACTCCTGGGCTCAAGCAATCCTCCCGCCTTGGCCTCCCAAAGTGCTAGGATTACAGGTGTGAGCCACCATGCCTGACCAGGTTTTTATAATAAATTTTTGCCCAATCTGACAGGTGTGAAATGGTATCTCGTTATTTTAATTTGCATTTCCCTGATTATTAGTGATACTTGGCATCCTGTTCATGTGTTTATCAGCGCTCTGGGTTTTCTTTTCTATGAGGTACCTGTTTCTGTCAAATACCCGCTTTCTGTTTGCTGTGTTTTTATATATTCCAAATCCATACCATCCTTTTCCCCATATTTTTTGGCTCATCTTTAATTATGAAGTCATCTGTTACACAGACGTTTTTAGTTTTAGTCTTATCAGATTTATTAACTTTATGTTTTATGGTTTATGCTTTTTTTTGTATATTGCTTAAGAAATCCTTCCCTACACTGAGATCGCATTGTAAAGATCAGATTGTAAAGATTTTCTATCTTCTAAGTGTTTGTACATACTAAATAGGATTGAATACACAATTATACAAGACAGACTCTAAGTTAAGGAGCATACAGTCCAATAGGGAATATAAATACTTAAGATATGTTTTTCACACTTGAGTTTTTGTTTTGTTTTGAGAGACAGGGTCTGGCTCTGTCGCCCAGGCTAGAGTACAGTGCTGCAATCATAGCTCACTGTAATCTCAGACTCCTTGGGTCAAGAGATCCTGCAGCACTGAGATTATAGGCATGAGCCAATGCGCCCGGCCACACTTGGGTATTTAAATGATTTGGAATTTTTTGTTTGTATGGCAGAAGCTAGAGGTCTAATTTTACTATTTACTATATGGTTAGCCTGCTGTCCCTCCTCTGTTGACCGACTAGCCCATCCATTCTCTACTAACTTTTAATGCCACTTCTGTAATATACTCAAGTTCTCATATAAATCATATAAGTTTGTTTCTCTGCTCTCTACTTTGTTCTGTTCGTCTCTATGTATTCCCTGAGTCAATGACATATTGTTTTAATTACTGTAACTCTAAGCCTTGCTATCTGATACAAACAGCCCACCCCCCTTTTATTCTTCTTCAGCATTGTCTTCGCTCTTTTGGGCCTCCTGTTTGATTTTAGAATAAGCCTGGGGACAACTTTTAATGAAATTGCATCAAAATTATAGATTATATTGCCATCTATTACCCTTAAAAAAATTTAAGGCCGGGTGCGGTGACTCACACCTATAATCCTAGCACTCTGGAAGGCTGAGGCAGGAGGATCACTTGAGGTCAGGGGTTTGAGACCAGCCTGAGCAAGAGCAAGACCCCATCTCTACTAAAAATAGAAAAAATTAGCCGGGCAACTGAAAATAGAGAAAATTAACTGGGCGTGGTGGTGCCTCCCTGTAGTCCCAGCTGCTTGGGAAGCTGAGGCAGGAGGATGGCTTGAGCCCAAGAGTTTGAGGTTGCTGTCAGCTAGGCTGACGCCATGGCACTGTAGCTCAGGAAACAGAGCAACACTGTATCTCAAAATAAAAAAAATAAAAAATAATAAACAAATTAGACCCATAATATAATGTTGACTGGAAGGTGTGATGGGTACAACATAAGGATGCCCACTGTTCGTTGTTTGTTTGTTTTTAATATGGAACGCTTCACGAATTTGCGTGTCATCCTTGCAAAGGGTCCGTGCTAATCTTCTCTGTATCGTTCCAATTTTAGTATATGTGCTGCCGAAGTGAACACAATGCTCACTGTTTCTTAAAGAGAATGTTTCTAATGTTTTATCATTAAATATAATGTTTGCTATATCTATTGTTCAAAATCATGAGACTCTTAAAAAAAAATAGTATATTGCTTTTCCCCTTGTTAATTTTCTAGGGTTAAACCATCCTTGTAGTCCTCAGCTAAATCCTACTAGATCATGATGGCTTAGTTTTTTTGGTTTTAGTTAGTTTTTACATTGCTTGAATATATTTGCTATTATGTTATTTAGTAATTTTGTATATAAGTTTATAAGTGAAATCCACCTGAAGTTTTCCTTTGAACTGTCTGGTTTGGTTATCAAGGTTATACCCATCTTATAAAATGAGTTGGTTAGTTTTCCTTCTTTTTTTTTCACTAGAGTTATTTGTATTTGTGAAAGACTATCCTTGCAGATTTGATAGCATATAAGCTAAAGGAAAAGAAGGTAGAATTAGGTAAGATTAGGATATTAAGTTATAGGGCAATCTGTTATAAAGGCTGCCATGGAAATTCCAGTGGGAACTACAGAAATGCCTGAGCAGCATTTTAGTTTTAGAATGTTTAGTTCCTGAATGCATCACCCTTACTATGTGTTGGGCACTGTTACAAATTGTTTAAGGCTGTAGTTGAGGTGGAATAGCATTAATTGTGATGGGTGCAGTCTGCCTTTGTTAGAGGGACTTTTTTCTTCTGCTTCACTGCTCTCCTTCCTCCACTTACTGTACCCGAGGTAGGCTTTATTATCATTAGTGTTGGCGTTCCCAAGAACGCCTTCCTATGACTTGGTCTTCATAGGAAAGCACTATTAGATAGATAGGTGGTTGGGTAATGGCTCTCTTCTTCTCCTGCTTAGACTCTTGTCTACCAGCAATACAGGTCTCTACCTGCAAAGGCCAAGGGTTGAGGGACCTTGGGAAAGAAGTTACTGAAACATAATAAGTTATGTTTACGTTTCTCACCCAGGTGAGATTTCGATGGAGAAAGTGAAGGTAAAACGTTATGTGTCCGGAAAGAGGCCAGACTATGCCCCTATGGAGTCCTCAGATGAGGAGGATGAAGAATTTCAGTTCATTAAGAAAGCTAAAGAACAAGAAGCAGAGCCTGAGGAACAGGAGGAGGATTCATCTAGTGACCCTCGGCTGCGGCGATTACAGAACCGTATTAGTGAAGATGTGGAAGAGAGGTAATGACTAGGGTTATGTTTCCCTGGACCTAAACCTCTACAGCTTAATAACAACAATAATAGCTAATACTTGAATAGTACTTACTATATGCCAAATATGCTGTTCCACGTAGATTACATTTACTAATTCTTGTAATCTACACGATAATCTTATAGGTACTATTATCCTCATTTTACAAATGAGGAAACCAAGGCACAAAGGGGTTAGGAAAGTAACATTACCAAAGTTACACAGCCAGTGAGAGCTTCAGAAAGAAGCAGGTAACTTCTGGTTTAAAAGCCCTAATTTAACTCATTAAGAGAACAGAAAATACAAACCATTTGTTAGTTGTTGAGGGGAGTCTTTTTAGCACGAAGATGTTCTATACATGGAGAAATTGATTTTATCCATCTACTTATTCTAAATGCTAATGAGGGGTAAATGACACTGATAAAGTAGGAGAAAAGACCTGATAAATGGTTTCGTGTTGGAAAGAAAGCCTCCCAATGAGGGATTTTGTATATACATATTGATTGAGGCATTACCTCACAGAGTGGGCCAGAGGTCTTTAACTTTCACAGTTCATATTGTCTCAGGAATTTTTTCACAGAGCTCCTAGGCCAGTGCAGTTCTGTTTATTTTATTAAGTAGTTAGATCCAAATAACTTAATAAGTATTTATGTTTTAAAAATTTAGCCATTTGAAAAATATAATGCCCATGAAAGAAAAATCATTTTTATTTCATTCCTACATTGTCCACAATTAATACTAGTAGAATTTGTGTGCCTGTTGGACATTCACAACTTCTCAAACCTTGGGATCATTTGGCTCAGTTACTCTTTCATATCTTATTTTATATTGATTTTCACACTGTACTTTTTATCACAGCAGCCACCAAAAATACAGTTTCCAAAAAATACAATGTCATTGAAAGGAATGTAGTGTGACCTAATGTTGAAACTATGAACCACCTTGGGCTATTAACAATATCCCAGTGCACCCTTGTGAGTTGGCTGTGGTGGCCCTGGAGTTGCCTCAATACGTTTTGGACCCAACTTGACTATTTGCTCTGACACTCTGGTTTAGTTTCTTTAATCTGCACCTTGGTTTCCCCATCTCAAGACTTCAATATTAATGAAGGCAAACATAACGTCAGGGTGCTCTGTGACCAAGGGATGTGGTTAAGGCTCCATTTTTGTGACATTGGTGTTATTTTTTTTCAGATTGGCTCGACATCGGAAAATAGTAGAACCTGAAGTGGTAGGAGAAAGTGACTCAGAAGTAGAAGGAGATGCTTGGCGCATGGAACGAGAAGATAGCAGTGAAGAAGAGGAGGAAGAAATTGATGATGAGGTATGATAAAGGAAAATGGGAAGTTTTTTCTGGGTGCAAGAAAAAGTTGCAGCCAGTGCTCATTTGTTGAGGCCCTAAGCTCATTGCTTGTGGCAAAACTCTGATCATGTTCCTTGTTTGTTGGGGACAGGATTGAAAAGGGAATGGTGCCAAGTTGCATTTACTTATATCAGAATTTGTTGAGCTTGATGAGGGAAAAATAAAAAGCCCCAGGCCATTTGGCTTAAATGTATGACTTCATAGGAAATAGAGCGGCGCCGTGGCATGATGCGTCAGCGAGCACAGGAGAGGAAAAATGAAGAGATGGAAGTCATGGAAGTGGAAGATGAAGGACGTTCTGGGGAAGAGTCAGAATCAGAATCTGAATATGAAGAGTACACAGACAGTGAAGATGAGATGGAGCCTCGCCTTAAGCCAGTCTTCATTCGAAAGTAAGTATCTCACAAATGAGGTCTGAATCCACATAGATATGCTGCTTGGCAGGTCTGAAGATAAAAGTGTCTTTTCTGTCTCATGTTCTTCTCAAATCTAAGCATTAAGTGAAAGTCTTTTACCCAGTGCCCTAGCCTTGCAAAGTAGTTGCTGAGGAATATCTTGGTGTTAGCAGGGAGCCTGAGTTTGTTTTCACATCTTCTTTTTCAGTTAAAGAGCATACATCTGCCCAAAGTCTTATATTTTAAACACAAAATTAAGCTTGAAAAGCAAATTCCTATTCCTTTTCTAATGGCTAGAAATCCTACTACTTACAGTCCAGCAGGTGCCTTGCTATCTAGGCAGTTCTCAAAGATGAATGGAATGCTCTAAAGACCTGGGATGACTCCCATTTTGGGCTCTTTACAAATAATAGAGCCGAAGATTGTTTGGCTGTGTCTGATTTGGATGGATCTAGATCTAGGGGAACAAAGAGCTCCACTCTAAAGACTTTGGGCAATTAATAGGACCTCTGTGATGCAGGAAGGACCGAGTGACAGTTCAAGAACGTGAGGCTGAAGCATTGAAACAGAAGGAGCTGGAGCAGGAGGCAAAACGCATGGCTGAGGAGAGGCGCAAGTACACACTCAAGGTACTGGAGAGTGGTTGCAAGGATTGAGTGCAAGAAATAATGTAATGAGGTTTGAGGAGAAAAAGGAAGCCCAACAGCTAAATTGTTCTCCCCATCCAGATTGTAGAAGAGGAAACCAAGAAGGAGCTGGAGGAGAATAAGCGATCCCTAGCAGCACTGGATGCACTAAATACTGATGATGAAAATGATGAGGAGGAATACGAGGCATGGAAGGTTCGGGAGCTAAAAAGAATCAAGAGGGACAGAGAAGACAGAGAAGCGTGAGTAAAAAGGATGGGCTTAGTTAATGTTGGTAACGGAAAAGGTTTCGAGGAGGGTAGTTTTGAGGCTTATCAACTACTGTGAGTTACATTCTAGCATCTTTTTAGGGTTCTTGCTGCTGAGTGAGTTTCCCATAACTGGAATATGAGTTTTACTGGTTAAAGTAAAATCAGGGAAGAGAAACATACTTTCTCAATGTGTCTCCATGATAGAGTACCAGCTAATGCTGCCTTTAGTTTCCTATTAGACATACAAAAGTTACTATTATCAGTTATCTCTTGTTGTATAACGACTCAACCCAAAATTGAATGGCTTAAAACAACAATTTATTATTTCTGACAATTTTGGAGGTTGGCTAAACAGTTCCTCTACTGGTTTCACCTGGACTCTTTGATGTAGTTGCATCCAGCTGGAGGATTGACTGAGCTAGCAAGTCCAGAAGGTTCACGACCAGCCTGGGCAACATGGTGCAACCTCGTCTCTACAAAAAATAAAAAAAATTAGCCAGCCATGGTGGCACATACCTGTAGTCCCAGCTATTCAGGAGGCTAAGATAGGAGTATCACTTGAGCTGAGGAGTTCAAGACTGCAGTTAGCTATGATCACACCACAGCACTCCAGCTTGGGTGACAAAAGCAAGACCCTGACTCAAAACCAAAAGGCCTTCACTCACATGTCTGGTAGTTACTGCTGGTTATCAACTAGGATGCCTCATTTTTCCTCTGTGCCTTAGATTGTCTTCCCTTACATGACAATCTCAAGGCAAAGTGGAAGCTGGCAAGGTCTCCTGAGGCTTAAGTTGTTAGAACTTATACGTCATTTCTACCACATATTGGTCAAAGCAAGTCACAAGGCCAACCCAGCTTCGGCGGGGTGAGGAAATAGATTGTACCTCTGGATGGAAGGAGCAGCAAAGTCATACTTTTTGAAAAAGGGCATGCATACTGTGAGGGGAAGAATTCGTGACAAATAATCTACCACACTATGTTAGAGCAGAATCGTTTCTCAGCTGCACCATCCATTCCTATAAATTACTAGATATGAGAGGGTAATCTCAGATTACAAAGGGAAACCATCAATAGATGGTTTCTTTCCTCAGCCTATAGTTTCTAAGGTTCTTACTCTGGGCTTTAAAGAGTCCATGCACCCTTTAAAAATTGAAAGCAAAACTATATGTGCATTTTTCTAGAGAAAAGGGATCTGTGACATCCCCGAAAAAATGATTAAAAATCACTGCAATCTAATTGATAGTAATCCTTGGTTTATGACATGGAAGTACATACATGATTATGATGTGCTTACAATAAGGAATACCAGCAAAGTCTTACACAGTTATTTTAAATTCACTCTGATTTTTTTTTAGGCTAAGAAAGACTTTTATTAAGCAATGTTATAAAATCAAGCAGTAATAGTATGTTTGAACCTCAGAAAGGTTAGAATCAATTTTTGGAAGTTTGCAGTACCTGGTATGGCAAACATAATCAAGACCAACTCATCTTTTTGTTTATTGAACTTCTGATCTTGATTCCTAACAGGCCATGACTAGACTTGAAGAAGGTGAATAATGCTCAAAATGACATGGGACTGTGTTCTTTTCAGATAAGTGGGTCTTTCTGAAGCTGGAACAATACTAATAAATAGTTTTGCTCCCTGGACAGGCTTGAAAAGGAGAAAGCAGAAATTGAACGCATGAGAAACCTGACTGAGGAAGAGAGGCGAGCTGAGCTTCGAGCAAATGGCAAAGTCATTACCAACAAAGCTGTTAAGGGCAAATATAAGTTCTTACAGAAGTATTATCACCGGGGTGCCTTCTTCATGGTAAGAAGTAAAAAGGGAGTCAGAAAATTGGGCAGTAGGTATAACTCAGAAGCTTTGAATTCTTTTTTTCTTCCAGGAATAAACCGTCCTATAATGTTATTTCCACTTGCCACTGGTCAACTTTCTCGTTTGCTTTTTGCCTCTGAAGAATACAAACCCAGAGAAAAACATTAGCAACTGGATTATAGAAGTAGCAGCAACTGTTCTCTATTTTGTTGCAGCTCTCAAAAAGAGGAAATGATGTAATAGAAAAATTGAGGAAATGAAACAGAGAAATAGTGATCCATGTAGATACTAAACTAATTAGGTCCCCAAAATCAGTTAGATGTCATTATTTCATAGCTGAATGAGAAGTTTTGGTTATATGAAAACCAGACTTTGTAAATAGCTTCATGTTAATTCATATTTGGGTGTCAGAAGTCTAGTTCACTCATTCTGAACTGACAGAAAGTAACTAAGCCTAACTAACCAAAAGAATGGTTAATTAACCATTATGTGAAATGCCATTGTCTTTGTTCTTCATATAAAAACCCAAAGTCAAATAGCAGTCTGTTAAGCTTGTATAGTTTATTAAATTATTTCCTAATGTTACAAGAGCTTGTATCAAAAACTAGACTAGCTTTTCAACTGCTGTATATCAAACCCTAAATATCCCCACTGCAGCTTAAATTCCTGCCCTACGCTGCAGGTGCTGGTAAAATTTTAAAACTTCAGTGGTTTCCTTACTACCCTCCAAAGTTAATTTCAAGTCTGTCTGATCAGGAACTGTTTGCTTATGTAATTTTCCAGCAGATGTGGTTTTTTAGAGTCAGTGGAGATTACGAATTACTTTTTGTACTGCTTCAGAGTCATAAAGCATCTTTGCTTAAGCAATTCTGCAGCTTTAATAATCAAACTTCTTAGAGAAGCAGTGCATTGCTGGCTAAGATACATAAGAAAAGTTTATGTGAAAGTCTTTTGGTGACCATACTCAAATGACTCTTCTCATCTGGACAAGGAGAGTGAAATTGAAATGGTTTATGGGATTAAATGAGGGGCTTTCGTTCCCCAAGGGGAAAGTAGATCTCACAAAAACGGTTTAATTGTCCATTTAAACTGCGACTTTCTATAGCTGAAGGGAAAATACTCCAAAAGTGTGTTTCATTAAAGGACTCAACTCTTCCATGAAGCCTTAACCAAGGTAGTGCTATTTTTAATTCCTTCAGCATGTATGTTTATAATTTGTATGGCAGTGTTGTAATCTTACCAACATTGATTTGAAACTATTCTCTATAGTTGCTTTTTATTTCATTGAGTAACCTTTTGTACATTTACTGTTCAAAGGTCACTGTTTAGCACTGCTAGAGGACACATAATCTTTGCCCTCAAAAGGTATAATCTTGCAAGATCTAAAAGTACAGCTAAGACAAATATACACTATAATATAAGGAGGAGTGAAAGTACCATGGAGGTTCTGAAGAGGAAGATGTTGTATTTGGTAGATGAAAAGGAAGTAACATTTAAGATGTATAGACTTCATTTAGACATTCCATGTGAAGAAACCAGCAGGAGGGGAGGCAGGAAGTATAAACTGTAAATAGAAGTTGCAAGGGGAGCTAAAAAGATTAAGGCTATATTTGGCCTTGACTACTACACAGAAGAGTTGTGTTTAATAGAGAACCACTGAAGTTTTTGAGTAAAGATTATAATAAGAGTTGTGTTTTAGAAACATTAATACAGTGGCAATGTGTAAGACTATAGAAAAAAACTAATAACCCACATGATGAGAATTTTTAAGACGTGGCAACTGATTGTACAGAGGTTACTCACATTTTGAATGTGATGAGAATTTTTAAGATGTGGCAACAGATTGTACAGAGGTACTCACATTTTCAATCTGAGTAATTGAGAGACTGTTGGTCCTACTAACAAAAAAGAGGAGAGGCTGATTTGGAAAGGTTAAGGAAATGATTTACACTTTAGATGTGAGTTTGAAGTCCCAATAGTAAATATCCAAGATATATAAAAAGCAGTAGAAAAATTCAGGATTGGAGATTTGAGAGGCCTGTGCAGAGATGAAGTCACATAAGTAAATGAGCACACTGAGTGCAAGAAGAATAAGCCAACCTTAAAGAAATATCTATACTTAGGAAGGAGAAAGACGATAAAGAAAAAGAATCTCATCTCCTCAACTAGATGTAAGCTCTTGAAGGCTTAACACCCTTTCGTTGTATCCCTTGTAGAGTTTAATAAATTTGTGTGGTTTGAATATATGGGAAATAAAGCCATAGACTGATAAGATTCTGTTCTACAGGATGAGGATGAAGAAGTATACAAGAGAGACTTCAGTGCCCCTACCCTGGAGGATCACTTCAACAAAACTATTCTTCCTAAAGTCATGCAGGTATGGGGAATCATAACATAACAGAGAAAATATTCTGAGGACTAAGGCATGGTGTGTTTGGTGGTATAACTCATCATCTGTCCTTTCCTCAGGTCAAGAACTTTGGACGCTCTGGTCGTACCAAATACACTCACCTTGTGGATCAAGACACCACCTCCTTCGACTCAGCATGGGGCCAAGAGAGTGCCCAGAACACAAAGTTCTTTAAACAGAAGGCTGCTGGGGTACGAGATGTATTTGAGCGACCATCTGCCAAGAAGCGGAAAACTACCTAGGGTCCAACTACTTACTCTTCTAACTGTGGAACATAAGGGGAAGTCTCCGCATCTGGTCCTTGATTTGCTTTTACCATTATTTAAGGCCCCTGTATCTAGCCTGTTGGACCTACTGCCATACTTATGTTACTGGGTAGCCCAGTCTTTGAAGGTGCTTTGTGAGGTTTGGACTCATGTTGAGAAGCCCACAGAAAAGCACTATCCAGGTAGGATTAGAGGCTTCCCACTTAAAACTATTTCTGAGAAATCTTAGATTTTGTCATTGGTATGGCTTCCCATATTTACTTGGGACTGTTTTGAATTTTTTTCTAGCTGCTTAGCTTAGAAACGTGGGCATGTGAGTGGACTTCTACTTTAGGGTTAGAAGTAATATACCAGGAAATCTAAGCTCAATGAAACCTATTTAGCATTTTTGGTTGAAGTCAATTTTTCTAGGTGAACAAACTTTTTGATCCATTTATGTGTGCGTGATAAGAAATAAAAGAATCACACACCAAAAGAATTGTTAGCATGATACTGGGAATAAAATGTCCAGGCTAATAAGCGTTAACTATCTGTTAAATAAAGTAAAAGACAGCAAGGAATTGTCAGGCAGAGGGCATTTCACATTTTGATCATCCCCTTTGGTCTCAGAAACTCAGATACTAGACAGGCTTTAAGTAGCATCCAGGTTTATTCCATGAGCAAATACAAATATGTTTGGTTGTCCTTGCTGTCTAAACTGTACCTCTACAGAAACTGTACCTGTCCAGAACAAAAGCTGGCTCATGAACTGGAGCATTTGTCTTATTGAATCCAAGTACCTACTAGTATCTTCTTGCCCAGCTCATGTATCAGGGACGGTACCAGTGCTCTCTGAGTAGCAATGCAGTGATATCATACTGGACTTAAATTCATTTTTCCCTTTAATATTTATTGTATAACTGCACATGGCAGAGCACCAGAGGTTCTAAGAGTTATAAAGAATGAAATTTAACCAATGGAAAGATTGTTTTCTCCATTGCATAAAAAATAAGACCAAGGTCTTTTCACAACCTTCAAATGCCCCACTGAAAGAATCACTCAAACTGTGTAGTGTCCTAGCATAAAAATTTGAGTGCAAATATTAATAATTACTGTGAGGTAATAAAACACATGAATATAAGTACAAGTCACTGCTCTGTGGGATACAATCTAAGAATTATCCCAGAGTCAAAATGAGAATAAGTCCTCAATTCTTTTAGAAAAGTGTTTATAGTTGCCATTTGAGTGTCCACTCTGAGGCAGGTACTAAGCCAGGTTTTTGCATCCACGAGCTCATCAGTTCTTACAAACATATAAGGTCGTATCACTTTACAGTTGAGAAAACAAATTGAGCACTTGGCCAAAGCTGATGAATTTTTAAAATAAAATTATCTTCTCTCTAGGATAGGAAATGAAACATAGACTGTGTTATGGTTCAGAATTCAAATACTAATCAAAGTCTGTCATAGGTCAATTCTATATAAGGCCTCCCTGCCCCTCAGTTAAGTTTAAAAATAAGACCTCTGATATCTTCTGTTCTTACCATGTTTTCACCTCATGTACCTAAATTCTAACTCAAAGTGACATATGAACTGGACTGGTAACTTAGAAGGCAGGTGCTGGCCTTTCAGATATTCATAAGCTATCCTGGAGACATAGGCCATTGAGTAAAGTAACTTTGCAGAGACTCCAAATATACCTTCGATAATGTTCAGTGAGAGCTAGTCATGAGTAAGACTGGCCTGCCACCTAGCATCTGCATTTGAACATGATGCACTGATTCTCCACAAAGATTCACTAAGGTTTGTGGGGAAGGGGGGTCACTTAAATTCAGTTATTCTCCAACATATAAATTCCCCACAGTAAAATATACACAGCACTTGACCCAGGATGATAAAACTGCAAAAGACAAAAAAATCTTTATTGCAATAAGTTAATACAGTAGGTATAGATGAGAAAGCACATATCAGTTGGTTAGGGCAATGAGAGCCTCTACCACATTGCCCATGTGTTCCCGCAAGCTCCGTTCTGCTGCTGCTCGAGAGATCTCCATCTCTGTCATCTGCAGAAAAAGGATCATGTTACCTAGTTCTCCCAAGCATTAATGTGCCAAACATACTGACTCTACTTATTTCAGGAAACAAACAGAACCTCTCCTGTCCATACACTAGTTAAGCACTATTACTCACTATAAGCTCCAGATCTTCCTTTTTGATAGTGACTTTTGCCAGTTCCTTCTCCCTGCAAACATTACATACGTTAGTCCTCGTTCTCAGCCAACACCATATGAACTCCCAGGAAGCATCATTCCCAGGTATGCCTTGCAAATAAATCTTGATAAACACTACTGAGTGAAAATACAAAATGAGTCCTACTAATATCCCCTCATCCCCGGGGAGCCTTGGCAGCAGGTGTTGCCAGGAGGCTTTCCTTCCACCAACAAGAGTTGTAAATCCTAGGTGTGCAGAAATTGGTCGTAGAGTTGAAGAACGGTAGGTACAAAGGCTTAAAATGGTTTTTATTTTTGTCTGTGGGTTAAGTGGGGAGAAATATAAGGCTGGCTGTATGCTGAAGACTTACCGCTCTTGTTTGGCTTTCTGCTCACGGGACCGTCTGTCTCCAATAACAGACATGGCCTATGGGAAAGACAGATCTAATTACTGCTCCGATATCCACAACTCCCAATCTAAAAAGCCAGGAACAAGTGGCTCACGTATCTATTCACGATGATGAGTGTAATCAGGAAGCGAGGACTATGTTTAACTCCGTCCTGTGCACCCGAAGTCCGCTTAACCCCAATCTCCATCAACTTCCTTTTAAGCCGGCGGCGTGCTCCGGTGACCGCTGTTTCCCTTAGCTCTGCCCTCTACCCCATTGCCTCCTTCTGCCACTGGGATCGGGATCGGGACCCAGTCTTGTAGCGCTAGCTTCCAGCTACAGCCTCAGAGGCCCATCTGCTCTCAGCCCGCCCAGACACCCTCCCGGCCAACCTTACCGTTTCCAGATTGGAACTCTGGATTTCCTTCTCCTCCGCATAGTCGGTGACCCGCTCCAGGTCCGCTGCGCCACTGTCATGTTTCCGTGGCTTCTCGGGAGGCCGCTCTGGGCCGCTGGTCTCAGTCTCCAACTCCAGCTCCACATCCCCTTCGGTCGCCATACCGATTCCACCCCGCCGCAGAAGCGCCGACTCATGACGACTTCCGGTAATTGGCCCACGACTTCCGCCCGGGAAGGAGGCGGGGCTGGCCCTGGGCCACACCTTCCTTATGCTCCGCTTCTAGAAGCTTCAGCGAGGAAGGCAGTTGGCCTATCAGACTTCCTTTCAGGCTTGAAGAGTGTTGTTTTCTGCAAGGCTTTCTCCCACACCTAACCACGTCTAACCTGTCACCACACCAGAACACCTTACAGGCATCCTTCCCTCCTCCTTAGGTAGAACAATCTCCCCACCAAATATACCCCCGCCAAAGAATTCTGTTCAACCAGATGGATGCCGTCTAAGCCTAAACCAATTAAGAACGCTAATCCACAAGAGGCCAGACATGCAAACTGCTCCCTAATCTGGAGAGAACAGCCTGAGTAGACCAAGTGGTGAGGTCCTGAGGAGAAAGCACCTACATGGGCATTTTTGCATTTACCACATCCTGAAGATCCAGGAGATCCTGATGTCCCCATTCTGCCCTAGACTGGGTGTTCATCCCCAGCAAAGCGGAAGTCCAGTGGGCTGAGGACAAAAGATGCTGCTTCCTCACCTACCTTCCATCTGGTGGACCTGAGCCTAATCTCTGGGACAAAGATGGTGCGTGCAAAAGCCGTCACAGTCCCCAGCACCTCCCTGGGCCTGCCACAGCAACACAGCGGAGTCAGCAGTGTCATAGTGAAAACCCCTTTCCATCAGGTGAGTAGGTGCTTGGGCAGATAGGCTTGAAAGGAACCTTAAGCAAAGGTTATATGAAAAATTGGAAGGGTAGGGTGGCCAAAGCTGGAGGAAAAACTGCAGAAGCCAATAAAGATGATGGGCCTTCTTTCCTCGAATGTCCTTCTGGTTCTTTGCCCCTCCCACATTCCCAGCCCCAAATGTTTAGGTCTACGCAAAGGTCAAATAGCTCAAGCCTGCTTGTAATGAAAGCCCTGTTGGTTGTCAGTGGAAGGCAATGCTCAAGAGCTTGCACCAGCCTGAAATGAATGGAACCAGACATTCTGACAATTCCTGAGTGAAAGGAAAAAAGGGAAGGGAAAATTCTGGAATTCAACCTCATGGGTTAGCCTCACATGTAACCTTTATGTATGCCTTTCCTCAGCAAATCTTCACCTTGCTGCCTTGCATCTGCTCTACCCCCAGGTGTCCTGCTGTGCGCCTGTTCCTTGTACCAGCTGCTGCCACTCTAGGTGGCCCTCTCTCACAGAGTCTACTTGCAGCCGCCTGTTCTACATCCTCCTCCATGTGGGAGCCTCAGCAGTCTGCTGCCTCCTGCTGTCAAGGACAGTAGTGGAAAAGGTCTGGGGCAAGGCACAGGGGGTAAGTGGGAGGTGGTCAGGCTGCAAGGTGGAAAAGGATAAAAGGGGAAACCCTGAGATAAAGATTTGGGTTGAGAGCAGGAGACATAATGGACATACAAGTGGGAAGTAGGTACCTCCTCATGCATTATGACTTGCCCTGCCACTTCTCACACACTCCCTCTAGATCCAGATGCCTTCAGGGTTGTGTGTCCACCTGTTTGGCCACTCTGACTGTCCAGTGCTCAGTGGCTCTGGGGCTGTGTACCGCATATGTGCAGGAACCGCCACCTTCCACCTGCTGCAGGCTGTGCTGCTGGTCCACCTCCACTCCCCCACCAGCCCACGGGCACAGCTGCATAATAGGTTTGTATGTACTTTTTGGGTAGGGAGGGGGCAGAGGAGGGAATTAGACACAAGCTGGGTAAAGGAAATTCTGGGATGAACCAATAGCACTGTCAAAAGAAAACAGGTTTAAATCCATTTCTGAGCTGGGCATGGTGGCTCACACCTGTAATCCTAACACTATGGGAGGCTGAGGCAGGAGGATTGCTTGAGGTCAGGAGTTCAAGACCAGACTGAGCAAAAGTGAGACCCCCATCTCTACTAAAAACAATTAGGCAGGTGTGGTGGTACGCACCTCTAGTCCCAACTATTCAGGAAGCTGAGGTAGGAGGATCGCCTGAGCCCAAGAGTTTGAGGTTGCTGTGAGCTAGGATGATGCCAGGGCACTCTACCCTAGGTGACAGAGTGAGACTCTGTCTCAAAAAAAAAAAAAAAAAAAAAAATCCCTGCTTCTGCCATACTTGCTGTGTGACCAAGAGCTAGACACTTATTCTCTTTGAGCTTCTAGTCTCTAAAATGGAGATAACAGTGGGGTTATTATATGCAAAACCCTTTGTAAACTATTAAACACTGCCCAGATGTTATTGTTTCATTGAGCTAGAATTTGGAATAGGTTAGTCCTGCACAGTGGCACATGCCTGTAGTCCCAGCTACTGGGGAGGCTGAGGCAGGAGAATCATTTAAGCCCAGGAGTTCAAGACCAGCCTGGGCAACACAGTGGGAACCCTGTCTCAAAATACAAAAGAATTTGGAATAGGGTGCAATAGGCCTATCTCAGCCCCCTCTCACTTGGGTCTGGATCCTACTTTCCTATATTTAGTTGTCTCTTCTCTTCCCTCTCTCCTATATTTTTCCTTTCTCTTTTGCTCTCCCATAGGCACTCTTCACTCTCCTTTGCCTTTTCTTCTGAGTCTGGTTTTCTCTCCCCCTCCTAACCAGCTTCTGGCTCCTCAAGCTGCTGTTGCTGTTAGGTCTCTGTGCTGTTGCCTTCTGCATCCCTGATGAGCATCTCTTCCCAGGTACTGTCTCACACCCTGATCAGCAAAAGTAGGCAAAGTTTTCTAAGACAAAGAGTCGGTAAGAAAAGGAGTAATAATTTGACATTTTTCCACTGGTGCCCGTCTTGCAGCCTGGCATTACATTGGCATCTGTGGAGGCTTCACATTCATCCTACTGCAGTTGGTGCTTATCACAGCCTTTGCCCATTCCTGGAACAAGAACTGGTAAGGGGCACATAACCTCAAAGGCTCTTCCTGGGAAAGTTGTCTGGCATTACTAGATGCAGAAGGACTGGGCAAATGGCATGGCAGGTCATTGGTCCCATGGCTTCCCACAGCAGTAACAAAAAGCTCAAAGAGAATGGACTGGACATGGTGGCTCATGCCTGTAATACCAGCACTTTGGGAGGCTGTATC